AAAGTACTTTTATTATAAAAATCTTGAATTTTCAAAAAAAATTAAAGTGCGTCGTGGAAAAACACTTGGGAGTGCTTCCTGAAGAAGCACATAGCAGGTGCTTATGTGCTTCTTCAGGAAGCGCTTTTATGACCCATAAGCACTTCTAAACTTTTCTGCCAAACATTGTCAGAAGCACTTTTAGTTATCAGAAAGCGCTTTTGGCTCTTTCAAAAGCACTCCTAAACAGGCCCTTAGTCAACAAATTAAAGTCATTTTCCACTGAGATAGGCTTTTTTATTTTTTTATTTTTTGGCAATTCACTTGGCTAGACCTCATTGGCAATAATGTGTAAGATTTGAGATGGTATTCAACCGTATTCAACCAAGGGTATATTATGATTTGGATAAGAGTGTTTTGGCTGTTCATGGAGTGTTGAAACTTGAAAAGGTGCTTGTGTAATTATCGTGATATGAAGGAGTTATATAAAAACCCTAAAAACCTCAAGGGTAAATTACTCTTCGTTGAATTTGTTTAATTACGTCAACGAATGGAAATAGTAAATCACAAATCCTCACACTTCGCGGACCCAATTGCTTTAACAAGTGAGTACTCAATTGGGTATAGTAAATAAAACAGAAATTGCAAAGCCTCTCATGAGTAAGAGCATCCACAATGATGCTCTCTATTTTTTAGTTAAAATTTAGCTAAAAATTTAAGAAAGTTATTTTAGGAGCTCTCTAAAAATTTTCAACTCCAACCATACTCCCTAATTTGGAGAGTCATAAATGCTATAACTCTTTTTTGATTGGTCCATCTCTATTAAAAAATAAAATAAAAAATAGTTAACATTAAATAAAAGTTTGAAATACTCATTAAATAAAGCAGTATTAAATTATAGGGAGTCACTAGGAGTCCTTTCTCTCTCCTTAGATTTAGGAGCTCCTAGAGGACTCCCTATATTAGGAGGTGGATAGGGAGCGTGGTTGAAGTTGTATTTTTATGATTCCTCCCTAAAATTTGTCTAAGGAGGTGGTTTAAGGAGCCTATTGTGGATGCTCTAAGCCCCTGTAAATTGAATTGAATTTATAATTATAATGGTTTGGTTTAATTTGTTAATTGCAATGCGAGTTAATGGTGATAAGGGATTGCACCTGTTTAAGCAAGAAAATCTAACAATGTTGTCAGTGACAACTTTGATTGTAGGGGGATTATTGAAGTCAGAGTTGGAAAGGGCCACAAAGACTTTAAATTTTGACTCATAAAGAAAAATACAAACTAAAAAAAATTCAGTTAAGAAAAATAAAAGTGGGAAAAAAAATACTTTTGAGAGATTACAATAGTTGCCAGCATAATAAAAGTGAAAAAAAAAAAATTGACAATTAAAAGAAAAAGGCATATCGAAGAGACGGAAAGAAGAGGGAGGAGAAAAGATAAAGAAAAGAAGAGAGAGAAAGTGTCCTAAGTGGAGTTAGCTTCAGAGGGTCTAAGTGAAACTCACCGGAGTTCATCGAACTTTATTGGTCAATTCATAATGTGGTCGGGCACAGACAAAAGCGTGTGAATGAGTTGAAAAAACACCCTGCCAGTATCAATCACAGACAGAAACGAACCAGCAGTAACTGGTCCATTAGACGCGTTTTTGGGTTTACAATACGGTTTGGGGCCTATCCCAATTAAAAGACTCTTCTGATTAAAAAAAGACTCAGGGTTTACAATACGTGTATACGGTATATAATATTTATACAAGTGGTTCTTCACTCAATTGGATATAGTAATTAAAACAGAAATTGCAAAGCCTCTCCTAAGTAAGCCCTTGGTCAGATCCATCTAAGAATGGCCGTCTCCGCAGATGCAGCTGTTGTGGAACTTCTTGATAGCAGTAACTATGTGGATTGGAGTGTATGGGTTAAAACTTACTTGCTGGCTCAAGACCTTTGGGATGTAGTGGAACAAGACGAAGAAGAAGAAGAAGAAGAATCTGATGATAATTTCAAAGCTTGGAGGGAGAAGAATGCCACGGCTTTACATACAATCCAAATTTCGTGCGGGCGGGAAGCTTCTTCCCTCATTAGAAATACCAGTTCAGCCAAACGCGCTTGGGATACTTTGGCAGAAAACTTCAAGCCAAAACCATTTCTTCCAAGTAAGTCACCAGTTCAAATCTTGAACCTCATCAAACAACCCCCCCTGGTGTACTTGGTTCTCTTTATGTGAAAAGTAAATATTCAAATTAAACAAGAAATATATATATATATATATATATATATATATAAGGGATCTCTCGAATAAGCTTATTAGAGGGACATCTTTTGTAGGAACCTCTCCGCATTGTATTTCACTCATCCAAACTGCCCATTTTGTAGATATTCATTTAATATCATTTGACCATTCAAATTATTAAAATTTAAGTATTTTTTTGAAGTATCATGTTCATTGATTTTGTCGGTCTCCATTAGATGCCTTAATGATTTTCAATTTCTCTGACTTTTTCAAGGATGATCTAAGAATGAAGACTTGAAAAATAGACAGTTTGAATTGTTGAAAAAAAAAAAATCGTAGGGTGTCACTCAAATAAAATATATATTATATACCAAGACCACAATTTCTCCTGCTTATATTAAGGACTCCTAATAATTTTACTTTTATTTCTTTTACATTTTGGTCTCCCTGTATTACTGTATACGAAAAGAAATTTATATCCTTATGCAAATTACATGTGCAACAATGTGGAAATTAAATCTAACGGTGTCAATTTACCCCTTTGACTTTATTTATTTATTTTTAAATAGCCAATTTCCTCCATGAATCTTAAAACTACCCACAATCATATTCCTATTCCATTCAAGATGTCGGCAAATAGTGGCCCTCAAAGTCATAAAAAAAAGAGAAAAAAAAAGGATTATGCTTGCATGGGTACAATATTTTCAATTATTAAAACAAAAAATAACTGGATTATGCAATATGAAATAATTATTTAATTAACACAAACTAGGTGCAGGATATGACAAGAGTCTGTATAAGCCGTTGTTCGATGCTGTATCGCGTGGGGATTGGAATGAAGCAAAGGAGTTTCTTACCCTACATCCAGATGCAATAAGAGCAAGACATCCGTACTCAACCAACACAGCTCTTTACATGGCAACAGAACTAGAGCACGAGCATATTGTGGAAGAGTTGGTGCAGTTGATGTTCGAGGAAGACTTGGAAATAACAGATAATGATGGTTGGACAGCTCTTGCTGTTGCTGCCCAAAGAGGAAATATCAAAATGGTTGAATGCATGGTTGGAAAAAGCAAGAAAATACTTGGTATTACCACTAACCAGAATTTGACTCCAATTCTCTTGGCTTCTATCTATGACCAATGGGACGTCGTTCATTATCTTTACTCCGTCACTCCCATCGAGGATCTAATGCCAGAAAAAGGCCCATACGGCGCGGGACTTATTTACTACTTTATAACTGGAAGGAAATTTGGTGAAAATTTTAATCTTATAACACCTAATTTGATAACTCATTTTTTTCCTTGTAATAAAATTTCTTTTTCTCTACTACAGGTATGGCTCGGGAATTAATTCGGTGTTGCCCACAATTGGTCCTTACTAAAGACCACTATGGGGTAATTCCGATAGAAGCATTTAGGCCTTCTGCATTTCCGAGTGGAACACGTCTCAAATTTTGGCAACAATGGATCTATGATAGTTAGTATCCACATTTTCTTTTCCTCTTACAATTACAATTTAGAATCTAATGTGATACTCTGATACTATTATTGGTTTATGTGTTCAAGAAAAGTGGAACAATAGTACAACGCTTTAGGTACATAGAATTAGGCTAATTGGCCTCCTAGTGGTGTAGTTGTTGGCTACTTCACCTAGTTGATAACTCTAGGCTAATGGCCCTTAACTTAGGTCCAGTTTGGAATTGCGTTTTTTGGCCAAAAACCTGCTTCACTTTAAAGTTAAGCAATTTAAGGTATTTGGTAAAAATAAAATATCTAGATTATTTTAAAAGTAGTTGCCTTTTGACAACAGCTTTTGAAATTACGCTCTGAGTTGCTTTTCAAAGCTGCTTTCAAAAGAAGCACAGATGAACCTTTAATGATTTTTTTTTAATTCCCAAAATACCATCATTCATTTTTAAAAATGACACCGCTTCCACTTTCACATCCAACTCCACCACTACATTCACCACCTCCACTACCACATCCTCTGCCACGACCACCTCCTCCAAAACCTCCACATCACCACCACCATTAGTACTACCACCACCACAACCACCACCTCCTCCAAAACCTCCACATCCATCACCACCTCCACAACCACCACCACTGCCACCACCGCACTGACATCGCCACCACCACCACCACCTCCACAACTGCCATCCCCACCACCACCACTACCACAACCACCAACTCTATCATCCCCACTACCACATTCATCTCCATCTATTTCACCACCACCTCCACTCTATCACCACCATTACCACCCCATGATTACTACATAACACTTTCAACATCATGTCTATTGTCATTATTCACAGTTACAACAATTTTATATTAAAATTTACCAAATGGTTTTGACACCGCTTTTTGTACTAACAGCACTTTAAAAATATTGTTTCCCAAACATGGAGCTACTTTACTTTACAGCTAATTATTTTGAGAGCACAACATAAGCAACTTGTTTTTGAAAGTGACAGCAATTCCGAACTGGGCCTTAGATTGATGAGTATTTGGACAGGTGAGTGGAAAAAGCAGCACTCTTTAAAAATAATAAAGCTTAACAAAGTTAAAGTTCAGTTAAGTGTTTGGACAATTGTCAAAATACTATATAGGGTACATGAAACTTGGGGACATTAGATCTCAACCCCATGAGGGGACATGCATATACAACATATATATGCAAATAGATTATGACAAGAGACATCCATAATGGTAATATAAATAGTAATTCGAAATATATTGATTGAGGTTAATTACTGTAATTTTTTTGAAAGGTATACACATAGATTGCGCCATCAATGATATTCGTGTAAGTGTTCAAAATGAAGGAAATGAAGAACATAATCGAACAAAGATCGCTTGGTCAGGTATGTTGCGACTTAAATGTAAGACTTGGGTTTTATCTAGTAAAATGGAAATCATTTTTTCATATGTTATCAAACTGTTCTTATAGTTTCTAATACTACACCCAATTTGTTTGTTTTCTTGCATTAAGTATAGTGAAGAATAGGTAATGTTCATTTTGAATCACTAGTTGATCATTTTGAACACTAACAAGAATTACAACTATCCCCATCATGTGTTTGGATTTTGAATTTCCATTGCAGTGCTAGGTTTCTTGCAAGGTCTGAACACAAATCTCCTTGAAATTTTGGGTATGCTACATTGTTTCCATATTTCCTTTGTTCTCCATTAATTGTTTTAAAAGTTTTATATTTTTTTTTCCTTGAATTAGTCATATGACATGTTTTTCCAATGCCAACTTAGGAATCAAACGCCTACGAGAAATGAAATTGGCCCATATTGAAGCCCTTGAACTCCTAGATAATATGTGTGAAGTGACAAAACATTCAGATGGCAATGACTTTCTCATTCCAGCAGTTTTCCATTGAATGTTTGAGTTTATTGACCGTGTATTGCAAGCAAGACCAAATCTCGTGTGGGCGTGTAATCCAATGAGAAGGAACCTCTTTCAGTTTGCCATTGAATGTCGTCAAGAAAAAGTTTATAATCTTTTTTATTATAAACTCAGTAAAAGACAAAGAACTACGATTGGAAATATTGCAGATCGGGATAACAATTGCGCGCTACATGTGGCAGGGACGCTTTCACCATTAGCAAGGCTCGATAATATCTCAGGTGCAGCTTTGAAAATGCAGAGAGAACTACAATGGTTCAAGGTCAGTACATATAATTCAGTGTTAGTTTTTATTTTTTCTCCCTCTTATTAATTAGTTTCCAATATATATGTATTCTAAAGACTATTTTTTGTTTGGAAATTGTGGGAATTAGTTTCTAACATAAATTGTTGAGGCTAAAATGAGTCCTTTTTTGTTAAATTTATTCATTCCAATATTAAAAACTAATGTTTCAATTTATGTAATTTAAAGGAGCATCGAGCGCATTTTCTAGTCGAAAACCTATGGAAACAAAAAATGTAGAATGACAAATAAAATAGTAATAAAGGTAGTCTTCTCTGTTCTCTAATGGTTTAGGTTTATCAAATTTAAAAAATTCAGGGGTTAGTTGGAAAATTAGAATAATAACCTCTTATACTCATATGAATCTTTTGTTCAACAACACGTAGGAGGTCGAGAATATTGTATTACCCTTGGTTAAAGAATCTTTAAATATGGAGAATAAGATCCCACGTGAGATGTTTACCAAGAATCACAACCAATTGGCGAAGGAAGGAGAAAGATGGATGAAAGAAACTGCATCTTCATGTACAGTTGTAGGTGCTCTCATTATTACCATCATGTTTGCTGCAGCATTCACAATTCCCGGTGGAAACAATGGACAAACAGGCTTCCCAATATTCCTGCATAAAAAGTTGTTTATGGCTTTTATAGTTTCAGATGCAATATCTCTCTTTTCTTCCACAACTTCAGTGTTGATGTTCTTGGGAATCCTTACATCACGTTATGCAGAAGATGATTTCCTCAAATCCTTACCAACAAAGATGATAATAGGGCTTTCCACACTATTCTTCTCTATTGCCGCCATGATGGTTGCCTTTTCTTCTGCCCTTTTCATTATGGTCCATGAACAGTCGTGGATTGTTATTCCAATGATTTTCGCTAGTGTTCCAGTCACCTTATTTATTTGGATGCAATTTCCTCTTCTAGTTGAGATGTACATTTCTACTTATGGACGAGGAATATTTGACAGGAAAGTGAAATCAAGGGCATAAATTCTTCTACTTGGAAGAGAAATATTTGATAGGAAAGTGAAATCATGGACATAACTTCTTGATGGTGCGTGTAAGTGTTAATGTATAACTTTCGTAATGTTGTAACTTCTAAGAAGCTTGTATACATTGTCCATGCCATGTATGTGTTTGGCATCCTATAATAAA